CCCATGAAAATGAGAGTAGCCAGTGCTAAGAAATAGAAGCCAGGATGCTAGACAGTGATCAAGAAAAAAGAAAAGTTGAGAGTAAAATAGAGTGCTGAGGACTTTGAGAATAAATATTCATCTTAGGAGGTTTCAGAATGGTAAAGCAAGAAACCTCTAGGAAGCTTTTTGCTTTTTTTTTTTTTAAGAAAGAACAGGAAGGATAGAAAGATGGGGAAGGACGGACGGAAGGATGAAAGGGAGAAAGGAAGGAGGGAAGGAGGGAAGGAGGGAAGGAGGGAAGGAGGGAAGGAGGGAAGGAAGGAAGGAGGGAAGGAAGGAAGGAGGGAAGGAAGGAAGGAAGGAAGGAAGGAAGGAAGGAAGGAAGGAAGGAAGGAAGGAAGGAAGGAAGGAAGGAAGGAAGGAAGGAAGGAAGGAAGGAAGGAAGGAAGGAAGGAAGGAAGGAAGGAAGGAAGGAAGGAAGGAAGGAAGGAAGGAAGGAAGGAAGGAAGGAAGGAAGGAAGGAAGGAAGGAAGGAAGGAAGGAAGGAAGGAAGGAAGGAAGATCATAAAGAGGACAAGAAAGCCACGTCCTACCATTGCATAAAATGAAGCTCATACACAAAACAAATAGATTTGTTTTATTTGATCACAAATATTTAGTGAAAAACAACACATTTGAAAGATCTACACTGCAATGAAATATTTTGCCATGCAAAAAAAGCCCATAAGCAGGACAGCCAGGCAAGCTCTTTGTTTAGCACTGTCTCACTTAATTGTCCTAGCTGGAGCTCGACCCCCGAGGAAGTTCAGCCATGCTGCTTGCAGCATGCTCTTACTTTAACTGATATTTCAGTGACTTGTTTTCTCCCTGCCGTTCAGACAGTATTTTTTTTAGCCTTGACAGAATGGCTAGACTAGGTAATCCACGCAAACAGCTGCTGCATGCAATGTGATCTTTTCCCCAAACCTTTTTAACAAAGACTTCTGAAACATCCTTTAGTTTTGGATATGTTGGAAATATCCAGAAGCTAAAATCTCTCAATATGAAATGCAATTGACATATCAACTGTCTGACCATACTGCTTTTAGCTTGAGAAGTGTCCCAAGAAGATTAACAGGAGCAGCATGTTCACAAAACCACTCCTTAATCAGAAAGCATTCATCAGGAAAATACCTCTGTTTCAAACAACTTTCACAGAGGATTTGCTTCTTGAATACCAGTGTTCCTGTCTGTAGTAAGAAGAAAGATGCTACTGATTATTGTAGTATGAGATTTGCTAACTTCCAAACTTAGTCAAAGATAATATATTTGGTATTTTTCATTGTGATGAATTTTATAAATTGAAATTATTGGGCATTTTGTCAATCACAGGCATTGCTTTCTAGCAGAAAGCATATATGAGCCCACATAACATTAAAGTAAGTGTTGCAAATATTGAAGATATAAAATAGCATTAATGGATCCAGGGAGATTTGAAAAATGAACAGGAGAAAAGAAATAAAGGGTCAGTCTTTAGGCAGGCATATGAATATAAGGGAAAACACATTCAGTGGAAAGTGGGAATTTGGAAACCAGTCATTTTGGAGGAGTCAAGAGGTGAGAGTGGACAGAAACATAGACGTGCATTGGAAACAGGATACAAGTAGGTAATGTAGCTGTAGACTACACAGGCAAAAGTGGCATCCTCAGTGGGCAAGATGGCAAAAATCTGTTTCCAAACATTGTGCACATCATGCCATCCACAACACTCTACTATATTTTAGGAATAATGTTCTGAAAAAAAGAAAAATGTGCACTGGAGAGCAGTGAGGGAACAATAAAAAGTAGTAGGGGTGTGGAGAATTGATTTTACCAGGTAAGATTAGGTATTAAATCTGTCAAATTTGGTTAAGTGGGAAAAAAAAAAAAAAAAAAAAAAAAAAAAAAAGCCAGATGGATAAATATTTAAAAGGTATCTAATAGGAAAGGAATTATTTCAGGACAACCAAAATCCTAAGAAAGGGAAAGAAGGATGGATATGAGAATGAGGTGTATCAGACTCTGAAATGGTCCCCTGTGGGATGAGAGAAAAACCATTCTCCTAGTGAGAATGACTTTAAACGAGATTGGATATTATCATAGTGACCAAAGGTGCAGTTGGGAATATCAGCTATTTTTGAGATTTAGTAGGCAACAATCCAAATAAAATAATTTTATGAAGGTCTTATTTGTTGCTGAGCCACACACTCTTCCTTTTTTTTCAGTAAGATCCGTCAGCTAATGGAGTCTCTTGCAGTGCTTTGCTATCGCTGGTCACACAGTGAGTTAATTAGGAACTAGATATACAAACACTTTGCCACCTAAATCTGTGTCTGTCCAGCATCCCTAAATAAAAGTAATGAGGTCTGCTGTTGCATGGCAATAGCATTACTTTGCAGTATATATTTCCATATCCTGTGCTCTCCCAAGCTGTCTGCTTGCTGCAAGTACAACCCCTCAAGGAAACTGAGGAGTCAGAACTACCAAGGTAATGCCAGTAAACTAAACCTTTAGGCATTTCTTTGCTTTGATCCAGAGAAATGCATGTGCTGTGCTGTTTGTACCCTCAGAACAAATGGCAATCTGGGAACTAGCATGGATATTTAGAGCTGGTATTTAAATAACATTACTTGGGAAATTCCCACTGCTTAAGAAAAGACCAACTAAAACAAGAGTTTTCTTTCCCAGAAGGCTGAGACAGGTATAATGAGGATTAGCAGGCATAACTGATATCATTTCTGTATCCTAGAGGATTGTATGAGTCATCTTTCTAGTCACGTCCTCCCTGTTCTAAGGACTGATGAGAGTGAAAATGTTGCTGTGAAGTGTAAAGGGGCAACATAAACATACTGTGCGATACAAGCAACCGATTACAAACAAATAACTTCATTATGCCACATCCATAATAATTCCTCCTTTTTATATAGTACTTTTCATCTGTAGATCTCAAAGTGCCATACAGATGGAAAAACTCAGGATGTAAAGCAACTAGTTTGAGGTCATTCAGGTAGACAACGGCAGCTCTGGGAATAAACCACAGTGCCTCACTCTGCATTATGAATGCCCCTCCTGTGCAATCCTGGAAAGGATCACAGCAGCAAGCGCTTGGAGCAAGAGAGTGTGTAGCTGGAGCTGAAATCAGCCTGAGTCTGATCATAAGACCACTGTGAATTAGAAAGGCCAAATTCCACCCTAATGTGCAATCTCTCTTGAAATCAACTGGAGCTTTGTATTTAAGTATTTCCAACATTTTCCTTCCCATGGTGCCTGAGTACCAGTGAAATTACATCACACTGAAACAGTCTCTGAGGATGATTCCTTACTACTTCCTATTAGCCCCAAGAGCCACTATGGATTGTTTTATTTTTATCCTTTTATCACTTTTTTTAATTGCACATAAACACTGGGCCTAATTCACTAATCATGCTAGAAAATGGAGAAAAGGATTATTTACTACCTAAAACTACAGTAGTGCAGTGATGCCTCTGGCCTAGAAAGTATAAAAATCAGCATGAAATGATTTCAGTCTTGACAGTGTAAGTGATTAAAAAGTGCAGAAAAAAATTCTGCAGGCATCCAACATTCACAGTAAGAGAAGCAAGGCAGATAATAGCCACAAACCTTTCATGTGATTAAAAAATAAAGGACAGAATGTGAGAGAAATCAAAACACAATATATCATAAATTCCAAAACTATAAATTGCATTATGCCTGAAATTTGGAAGGTAGAACACATCCTACAGATTCCTGGAAGGGAAAGAAAGGCGCTGATCCTGAAGCCACAAGTCTAGAGTTCCTTGCTGGCTTGGCTGCGGGCTCCCTCTGTAATCTTGGGCATATTGGTTTACTTCTGTTTCCTCTCCCACATTGTGGGTGTGCCTACATCGCAGTCAAAGTGGGATATTAAAGCTTGTCAGCCCAACTGAACTAGCTTCAATCAAGTTAGCTTATGGACTGTTAGTAACGTAGCTGTACTGAGGAGTTGGGTAAAGACTAAATTCTTCAAAGTGAATAATGAAATTTGGGAAAAATAGGATCTGAACACTATCAGAGCAATCCCACTCATCTAGATTTCACATTATTCTTTATTTTATGAAATGAGTACTTTTTTTTTAATTAAAAACAAACAAACAAATATATTTTCTGATTAACAGTAGGAGTTGAGCCAGAAAATGAAAAAAAAAAAAAAAAGAGAGAGAAAAAAAAAAAAGGATGATGGTTGAAGTTTTCAGAATCATTTAAGGGATTTAGCCACATGCTTCACATTAATGTGAGAGCTCTGCTCTGGGATCCAGATCTTAAGAATGGGAGATCTGTTCCTGAACTCCATCCAAATCATATTGTAACTAGGGTATGAAATGAGATGAGTTAGTCTTCCACAAGGGTAAGACCAGCTGAGAAAAAGTGTGTTTTAAAACTGTGAAGACATTTTAATGGAAAGTTGCTTATTATTATGTCAAAGTATAGCAACTGGTAAATATAATTGTATTAGGCTGCAATTACATATATCTTAAGAAAACACTCGTATATCGTGTGGAGGGAAAAAATGATCTACTTTTTCACATGAAAGCACAGCAACAGCGTAACTTAAAACACTTACAGATCAGTGTCAAAAGCAATAACACAGCAATGGCACTTCCCCCGCTCCAGCTAAATTGCTCTTATGTACTCCTAAAAACAGCATGATAGTTAAAATACAAATAATGGATATTAGATGGAAATGATAGTTGCAAAGTACAAACACATGTAAGAGAGTTGCTTTAGAAAGCATAGTAGGAGACAGAGTAAGAAGAAAAACTTTATTAATGTCAGAAAGATACAGTGAAATATTTAGTGAACACATGTTTGGGATAAGAGTCAGGATGAGGAGCCAGATGCTCAGCTGGTGAATGTTGATGCAGCTCTGTTTAAATCAGTGCGACTACGCTGATTTACATCATCTACAGATTTTGCAGCTGGCTTCAATACGCATACAAACTTTGAAAGTTATCTGGACTTACCTGTGCTCTACTCTCTGAGAAAAAGCCTGGAAGTCTGTTGGGATCAGGATTCTCAAGGAGATCTCTTGTGTTTCTGTGGGCTAGAAACATGGTGAAGACAAGTATTATTGTGGTTAGGACAGTATTTCTGCATTTTCCTAGCCCCGCGGGAAATCAAAATGCATACTAAAAGCGAATAATTAACCTAACATTGTAAGCCTTCAAGAAGCATTCATTCTTGTATGATTCAAGCTGTATTTTATATGAATCAGTGTTCCCCTCCCTACTTAAATGTAGACACATTATTTCTGTGGTCTGGAAGCTGAGATCGGATTTCACCCATAATGATTTTAGCTGCCACACAGCTCATCAAAACTGCAATTATAAATACCAGTGTTTTTCTTTTTCTGGAATGTAGACTGCATCATACCAGATCCTGCCAAAAGATGCAAAATTAGCACTGCGATGGATATACTTGTGCAACCTCCAGGGAAAGACAATTAGGGAATAAGGAATAAGAGGAAAGAGGGAGTTCTCACTGCCCAAATGACCAAAAGACTAAATCATCTTTATATCCATCTCCTGCACTGTGAGCTTTTGATTCTGCAAAACCTTTGCACTGAGAAACCACACGTCAGTCTCAGAAGAAGTGATGATGGCTTGCACGTAGCAAGTTTTGAGGCTGATTAGCAATTGCCCTGTAACGTTCATGGGTGTGATGAGCACTTGGAAGAAAACCACCAGATTTCTCTCTTTCTTTCTTCTTTAAGCAGCATGTCACTTATATGTTCCTGTGGAGCCACCTGAAGGGCTCAGGCTAGAGTTAGGACAGCTCTCCAAATTCACTTGTAGGCCATCTGTTACCAAGAAGCGAGTTTTAATGTTTCTCTCCTGTTTACATTCTACCTGTGCAGGCTTGCATTAGACTTAAATCTCTATTGAATCCATGACAGGTGTAGCAAACAACTGTAAATAATACCAGACATCATAGCACTCTCACTACAGATGTAGAGATAGGGGAAGCAAAGGCCGATCAGACAGACATACCTGGAAGTACAGCACTATCGATCCTGCCTCCAGCTTAGGGCTGGTCCAGGGCTGGCTCAGTTCCTCATTCCAATCCATGTGGAAATTGAATATACATTTCCCATCTGCTCTTTTTGAAGCAGTAGCTTTACTTTGACAGTGCTTTGAACTGTCTCCCAAACTGCATGAAAAATTCCACAGTGTGTTCTGTTTAATCACACTCAGAGATTTTTGGGAAATAGTTCTGATTAGTTCCAATAGTATTAGAAATGGTAGGGCTGTGCTTTTACACATAGGGTATATAAATTTTCCAGATGCATAGACTTTAACAAAGTGACCAACTTCAACATTGATGAGAAAGGCAAGAGAACAGGGAAGAATGTTTATGAAGATTTTAACCTGTAGAAAAATAAAGACGTCTGTGAGCTGCTCAGTTTCCAGCACAGATGGGAGACAGACTTACAGGACATGGTTCCGGAAAGTTTTAGCACTAGCTGAAAGGCTACGAGGACTCTGACTTACTCACACTGTAGCTAATGGAAATTAGAGGCATGGGACACAGCATCGGTTGCGTTCTAGGAAGAACAAGCCTAAACTACAATTTTTCTGAAGACTTCAGATTCTCCTGAAAGTATTTGTGTAATGTCTGGCTAGCCAAGTAGTTTCAGATGTTAATTGAATTCAGCAGCTCTATTAATGCAATCAGAAAGTAAAGTAGTACAGATGCAAAGGTTCAAATATGTGTTATGATCTCAGCAAACCAGAGGACTCAAGTTATTGAATATTAAATAAATAAAGTTATGTTTGCCTCTACGATTTTACTCCTTGCTTCCTCATGATGACTGTACCAGCCAGCCAGTGGAAATCCAAGCATCAGTTCCATTATCTGGATTTTGTCTACACCACAGAGGGTTTTGTTTGTTTTGTTTTAAATAAATGAATGTTATTAAGTTGGTTGTAAAAAAAAATGGTAATTTGTCTATTAAAAGTCACTGAACAATTTTCCCCTCTGAATCAAAGTAATTACAGGAAAATGTGAATATTTTGTGTGTCTGCCTGCTTTCCTTTCATAAGCAGTTGTTTAAAACATAGAAGCCCTATGTGGTAATTCTGGAAGACAATTTCATATGCTGCAACATAAACTTGTGATTGAGAAAACAAATCAGTGCAGCCCGCGCAGATTAAAATAGTCAGACTGATAGGCATTAAACTACAACTGTAATCCGAGAACCAATGCACCTTCTGAAATCGCTCTACATTCTGTTCTTTGTCCCTCTCTCATCAGACATCTTCTATCATTAACCTGTGGTGAAACATAAAGTTTCTACTGTTAAAATTTATGGCCCATGCTTACATTGGAGCAATCGTAAATAGCAAAAAGAGGGGATGCAAATAAATTCTACATTATTTGGTCTTCCATGGGCTAACAGACTATGCATATACAGCCAAATAGAAAATTAAGAATAGAGAATATAGGTCATATATTAAAAAAGATGTGTACTCCATTTTGGTAAGCAATGATTTAAAAAATATAATATGTGATCGTGATTTTGGAAGAAAATTAGCTGTTGGGATAAACTGAAGCTTCCAAGTTATCTGCCTGGGCAGGCTGCATAAATTCTGTGAATGACAAAAAAGAAACACTACTACAGCAGCCTTACCTGCCAAACATGACCACATGTCTGCAACAAGTAGACAGGGACATATGGAGACTCAGGGCACACTGGACAATTGAGCAAGCAGCAGAGCTGGGAGGAACTTGCACCCAACAGCTTTAAGCTTCTGGTCCACATGCAGCTCCATGGCTAATGGCTGTGTGGCTTCAGAGCCGCCAGGACAGGTGGCGCTGGGGAACACCCTGCCACACTGTCAGTGCAACTTGCAATTAGCCCAGGCCAGCCTGCAATTAGCACTGATGTTACTCTGGAGAAAGATTTCCACTGGGAGGCCCACAAACTGAAGGTGTACCAGAAGAATGCAAAGACCCCACAAACTGTAGGCTGACATCTAATTTAAGGGGAAACTGTGCTCAACCAGCCTCATTGCCTTCTATGTTGGGTAGATGGGGAAAGAGCAGTGGATGTCACCTTGACTCTAGCAAGGCTTTGATACTGTCTCCAATGACATCCTGCTAGCAAAGCTGAGAAAGTGTGGGATAGAGTGGACAGTAAGGTGGGTTGAGAACTGGCTGACTGGCTCAGAGGGTGCTGATCAGTGGCACAGAGTCCAGCTGGAGATCTGCGACTAGCGGTGTTCTCCAGGGGTCAGTGCTGGGTCTGGTCTTGTTCAACATCTTCATCGATGACCTTGATGAGGGAATAGTGTCCACCCTCAGCAAGTACACTGATGACACAAAGCTGGGAGGAGTGGCTGACACGCCAGAAGGCTGTGCTGCCATTCAGCGAGACCTGGACCGGCTGGAGAGATGGGCAGGAAGAAACCAAATGAGGTTTAATAGGAGCAAGCGTAGAGTCCTGCACCTGGGAAGGAACAACCACACGTATTAGTACAGGCTGGGGGATGACCTGCTGGAGAGAAGCTCTGAGGAGAAGGACCTGGGCTTCCTGGTGGATGACAGGTTGACCATGAGCCAGCAGTGTGGCCTGGTGGCCAAGACCAATGGGATCCTGGCGTGCATTAAAAGGAGCATGGCCAGCAGGTCAAGGGAGGTGATCCTCCCCCTCTACTCTGCCCTGGTCAGGCCTCACCTGGAGTACTGTGTCCAGCTCTGGGCTCTTCGGTACAAGAAAGACAGGGATCTCCTGGAAAGTCTAGTGGAGGGCCACAAAGATGACACGGGACATGGAGCATCTTCCCTATGAGGAAAGGCTGAGAGACCTGGGTCTGTCCAACCTTGAGAAGAGAAAGCTGAGAGGGGATCTTATTAATGTTTACAAATACCTTAAATGTGGGAGACGTGGGATTTGGCCAACCTCTTTTTGTGGTTTGTGGGGACAGGACAAAGGGCAACGGTCAAAAAATGGGGCACAGGAAGTTCCATACTGACATGTGAAAGAACTTCTTCATGTTGAGGGTGACGGAGCACTGGTACAAGCTGCCCAGGGAGGTTGTGGAGTCTCCTCTGGAGATATTCAAGGCCTGTCTGGATACCTACCTGGGCAACCTGCTCTAGGGAAACTGCTTTGGCAGGGGGGTTGGACCCGATGATCTCTCAAGGTCCCTTCTAACCCCTACAATTCTGTGATTCTGTGATCTCCTGCAAAACAGAAAGTAGTGTTTAACCCTTTTGTGTATAATTAAAGGAATCTCCAGCAGAAATAAGGAAATCTGAAATGGCCGTGCTTGATTTTTGGAATGTTGAGTGAGGAGGACTCATCATGTATCTTAGGTCATCCACACAGACTTATTCATGTTGGGTTTCTTTACAGTAATGAGTGAGGAGTAGGCCCCTTTATGGTGTGATTCATTTAGGGCAGACTTCTGAAACCAATCAGATGAATTCCATCCTGAAAGTTACTGTTTCTCTTCAATGACATATAGGTACTCTTGGGTGAGCAGTTCACATTTGGTCAGTTTGCTTGCACTAACAGTGTATTCTCCAGTGCACACAATTCTGAAACAGGTGGGTACCTCACAGAATAATACAGAAAGAACCATGAGAACAAACACATAATTGGGAAATTATCCTGGAGTGCATTTGGAAGAGTGTTGCCAGCAGCTCAAGGGAGGTGATCCTCCCCCTCTACTCAGCTGTGGTGAGGCCACACCTGGAGTACTGTGTCCAGTTCTGGGCTTCCCAGTACAAGAGGGACATGGAGCTACTGGAGCGAGTCCAGAGGAGGGCTGCTAAGATGATTAGAGGCCTGAAGTACGAGGACAGGTTGAAAGAACTGGGCCTGTTTAGCTTGGAAAAGAGAAGACTGAGGGGAGACCTCATCCATGCATATAAATATCTGAGGGGAAGGTGTCAAGAGGGTGGAGCCGGTCTCTTTTCAGTTGTGCCTAGAGACAGGACAAGAGGCAATGTGCACAAACTGAAGCACAGGAGGTTCCGTCTGAATATGAGGGGGCACTTCTTTATTGTGAGGGTGACAGAGCACTGGGACAGGATGCCCAGAGAAGCTCTGGAGTCTCCTTCTCTGGAGGTACTCAAAACCCGCCTGGATGCCTTCCTGTGCAATGTGCTCTAGGTGATCCTGCTTAGCAGGGGGGTTGGACTAGATGATCTTCAGAGGTCCCTTCCA